GAACCATGTTGGGAACATCACTTCCCTGAGGATGCCGACATTCACCAGATCGACCACCTCTGCGTTTATTACCTTGTTCTTCTGCCGCCTGGCCTCTCTTTTTTTGTTTAACCAGATTGTTCCGGGCGTGAAATTAAGGTTGTGTTCTATAACCTGTCGATCAACCCCTGTCAGATCCGTTGGTTTCCAGGGGAAAACGGTGGAGTAGTGCTGTAGGAGTGCTACCAGTCGTGCCAATGTCCCGTCTGATAGGTGAGCGCCGATTCACACAAGCTTTTCTGGATATTCCATGTTTATCTGGTGTTGTTCGGTGGAACATCCCTCCTTGGACTTCTTTGGTGCGCATACAAGCTGTGGGGCGGCTATGATCTGGTGGCAATGTTGTGCCCTGGTGTTTGTGGCGAGGACCGCCACCGATCCCTGGCGTGTGCTAAATTTAACGATGTCGTGGATCGTCGATGGTACGAGGTGCAGTAAAGAGATTGCCGATCGTCCGAGCAGAATATTGTGTTCGGTTGGGTACCAGATCACATAGAATTCGATTGTTCTTGTGACTCGGTCCTTCTCGTCGTGACTGGCCAATGTTAAGGGCAGTCGGATAGTGCCTAATGACTACAAGTTGTGCCCGATGAATCCTACCAATGGTCCACCGGTTGGGGGATGTAGCCCCTCCTTCCACACATCTGGTAGTTGCCGGAAACAGTGCTCATAGAGTATATCGGAGCAACTACCATTGTCAATGTATATTCGATGGACTTTCGTGTTGCGAATGAATCCAGATATAAGGAGTGAGTCTTGCGGATCCCAGTTCCATGGTCTGGGATCGCCGCTCGAGAAACTAATGTTGAGTAGGTTTCTCGAGAGTGCCTCAATCTCGTCTTCTGCGTAGTGAGGTGTGCTCCTCTTATGAGAGTTAGAGATGGTAAGTACCTATTTGTCGTCATACGGATTTGTCTGTAACAGATCGGGATGTCATATCACCATCTGAGGCAGTGGAACATCCGACGATAGTTGTTGGAAACTGCTCTGGAGTACTGGCTCTGCTATTTCTGCCGTAATCGGCGGGACCTGTGTCGTTAGCACTTGGATTGGGGTCTGTGTTCTACACTTGCGATGATGGTCGTTGTTTACGTCACTAGTATTTTGAACATATCTTCTACTGCCGTCCCCGATGTTGTTGGGTTTCGATCCCCTTTTTGCAGAGAACCAGTGTCGTTTATTGGCTGTATCACTCTGAAGGTACGTCCGGATGGTGCCAAATGTTGTGACATGTTCAACACAGGTTTGGATGTCGGATGATGGATCTGTCTTGGGAGTTTTCCTGAGAACACAACACAGAAAAGGATCGTTAAAGGACGTACGGGTGTTCTCCCGGTACATCGCTCCAACGATCAAGTTAGTTTTCTGAGAGAGGTAATTTTAGGGTAATAGTCGTGAGAGAGAATATGGATCCCTTCCTTGGGGCGGAAGAGATCCTTTTATACCTGCTCCTAACGGATCGTGGGAACCTCGTACGATGAGCGTGAGACGTGGCATCCTCTGACTGGGAGGATCACGCCCATGTTAACTAACTGTCTGGTGACGCTCAATTATGGGAGTCACCTAAGATTTATGTCACGCCCTGATTAGTTATGAGTGAATGAGAAGATCGCGGGGGATATTCGTCCCTCGTGGAGGGAAACAAACTGCCACCCCGGTGCTAGACTGCCTTGGCCAAGACCGGGCCTTAGCCAAAAGTCCTGACGAGATAACGTCTCGTTTATGATTTTTGTCACATTTAACATGACCGTTCATGGTTAGGTTAACAGATGCGTTGCGATCAAGTCGGGCCTTTCCCTTTCGAACCAGAAGTACACGAAACCATAACCATAAAACGGTAAGCACAAAGCTTAGTGAGTTCCACAAAATACCACATACCATACATACATACATCCATCGGGCCTCCCCCGGTATTCATCAGGTTCCCCGATACAGATTTGTCAGTAACATGCGATGGGTCCTTCCCAATACATTCATCAGGCCCCGCCTCGCATCGGTCCTCGCCCGATATACATACAACACATAAACCACATGCAAGAGTCACACAGACAACTAGAATACAAATAACAGTAATCCATGGTCCGGCATTAGTGCCTTCGACCCGCCAAACACTAGGAGGAGACTCACCTCAAACCGAGATAACCGAAACACGTGCGCTGCTGCTACCGGGTTCCTCATACTGAACATAACCAAATTATCTCTAGTCAATACTTAAGATAATTCCCCATAATCCAAGGTCCAATTTATTATCTATCATTACAATGGGTAAAACACCATTTTACCCTTCCTATATTTGACCCAACAACTCATGGCCCAACTTCCAAAAGACCCACGGCCCAAAAGTCCCAAAAAAGAGAACCAGACTCGTACGCCCCGCGTATTACTCATTGATGCTTAAGGTACAACTAGCCACAACATGAAATCGGGAAGATATGCATTACGAAGAGCGTATGTATATGTACGCCCAACGTACCCCCTTTGTGACCATTTCTTATTTTAGGTCTTAATGCTTAAGACCAAAACATCCAAACGCAGATCTAATCTCAAAAAATCGACTTAAGTCATAAAGTTTCAACCTTTATGACTTTCCATGGTTAGAAAAGGTCCAAAAGCTAGAACCCTAACTTATTTATCCTTTAAGACATCTTAACTCTTGCTTGGAAGGGATAGGAGGCCCAAGATCACATTTTTATGCTTCCTCATAACTCCATAATGGATAAAGTTTCCAACTTTATCCATTAGAATGGTCCAAACAACCAAGATCTAGTCTTTAAGTCTCCAAGGGACCAAAAGTGCATCTTTTTCAACTTAATCCATTAAGCCTAAGTCTCCAACCTTCATATCTGAATGAATATGTTGTTTAGATGGATAAAGTGTCCAACTTTGTCCATAACAAGGTCATAAACTTTCAAGATCTAAACCGTATGCACTAAAGTGACCAAAAGCTCATAACACCCCAAAACTAACTAGATCTAACAAATGCATCATCAAGATTCAAGCTTTATATCTCTAGAAGAAAGATCAAGGTGAACAAAGTCTGGATCTACAAGCTTCAATGCAACCAACACGTCTCCAATAAGTTATTTCTTCTCCAAGATGCACCAAGAACACTCCAAAGCACTTAACGCACCTTCTTTTTGCTCACAAGGCTCAAACTAGGGTTAGGGTTTCAAGGGAGGGTGTTGGAGAGGTGGAGGCTAAGAATGGAATGGGTTTAGGGAATTTAAGGAGCTTAAATAGGGCTCAAACCACGAAAATAGGGTTTGAGCACTGATTGCGTATGCCTGACATACTCGTGGTACGCCCAGCGTACTCAGGGATACCCTAGTACGCCCAGCTTACGCGGCTTAACCCGAAACCGTCCTAATTCAAACGGTCATAACTTCTTCGTTTCAACTCCGATTTCGACGCTCTTTATATCCTCATAAAGCTATTGAGGAGCTCTACAGCCCTATCTAATTATTTTAACTTAAAACACATCGAAATAAAATTCTTAATTCATAAAAGATGTCTGAAACACCCCTTTTTCCATTATACCATTGGGCTCCAAAGCACAAACCAAACTCTTGGATCACATAATCTACATTACCGACATCCAAATGGGTTTATACCTTTCCTTCCCCAAGGCCCGAAGCCTTATGATAATTGATCTTTGGGTCACGTCCCCGAACTATGGAACGACTCGAAACAGGGTGTTACACTATGCTTGAAGTCGTGCCAAAGCAACCTAATCGACATACAAGTACATGCTCCAAAATTACTTTTGTTCGACTTCAGCGGCAACACATTGCCTAGTCTCTTATTTCCAGTATCGTCTCTCAAGCACACCACAATTACCTCGAGGAGGAGGAGGAGGAGTTACCATTGGACATCGACATGGATGATCTAAGAAAAAGGCTCATGTTTCCTCTTGCTAGGAACGTCAAACAACTCTCGTTTCAAACGGGACGAGATGAATGCATGTGGGAACGATCCCCCTTTTTTTATGCATTCTTTGAGATTTGCCATCCCAAGCACGTATTTGCATAGACAAACGTCCGGTTCAGAAACAATAATCATTTTTGTAGGATCATGCTGAGGGAGGTCTTGGAGAAGAAGACCAAACTCGTGTATTGGTCACCTTACCCTAAACATGTTCAAATAAGAAAGGATCCTCATAAAAAATGGAAAACCCTAACAAATTCCTAGAGAAGCTTTCTTGTACTATTATTACATGCTTTAATTTTTGTTTTGTCGTATGTGTTACGAACATTTTTAAACTAATAGTTATCGTCTTCATGGGATGCATCGATGTGGTTTTGATTTAAATAATTAATTGAGACTACGTGGGATATGCAACAAAAGGTACGCATTTTCTAATCCACAGTGTTTGTAATTTTAATGATTCAACTGTATAGACTACTCATGGGTATTTCTAATCATGAATGCTTGTAATTTTTTTAGAGAATTATATTGTGCCATTGATTCATGTTGGATGCGTTGTTTGAATTACAAATTGAATGCAGTTTTTAAACGAATTATTTGTTTGAATTTTTTTTATATGGGTTGTGTTTTTCCATTTTTCAAATTTAGAGTTTTGGGTAATACCTCCGTCTGTTTGTTTTTCATGTTCATATGCTTTAGATTAATTTCTATAACAGATATTGTGGAAATTCTATGTTAGTTTTTTATTTTATTTTTGAAATGGAAAATTTAATCAATTTTTAAATGTATTTATTTAATAAAAGAAACAATACAAATGAAATATGTCAAAATTAAAGAATATAGAGGCATTCAACTTATAGATTTATTTGCAACCAAAATGAAAGAAACATAAATTAGGGAATTTTATATTGACCAAAAGACTTGCAATAATAAACAAATCCCTAAATTATACATTAATCCGCATAGGCTTAATCATATATCGACGTTTATTTTATTTAAATGTATCCTTTCCTTTATGTTATACACATAAGGATCAATCATTTATATGTATTATCAGAAATGACAAATGACTTTTTACGTTTTTGGGCATCAGTCGGCACTTTGATGTTGGTTGCCAACCCTACGGTTTCAAGAAACTGTATAATGTACCAAGTAAAATCAATTTGCCACCACTCCAATCCATGTCGAGCTGAATACTCAAATGCATGATGATTGTTATGCCATCCTTCCCCAAAGGCAAGCACTCCTACCCACCTTCATAATATTTGGACAAACATTTATGATAGAATTTTGCTATTATTGATTATTCAAATATTTATAAACGTACCAGTTGTTTTTGGAGAGATCACCGGTATTCCAAGCCTGGTTTCCCCATATATGACAAACGGAGTTCACAAAAAACGTGATATGGCTAAACCATACCGTTCTAACACCCTGCATACACCATAAATATAGATTAAAAACGATTTTTTTTGGTGAAATTTAAGAACATTGAAAGCCTTTGTTTGCATGTCTCTATCTCATTGGTTCTGTATGTGCTTTGTCTTACTTAGTCGATTAATACAGGGAAGAAAATAGAAACATCTATGTTCTCCGTTTTCTTAAAAGATGCTGATTTCAAGTCTGCAAGTGTATTCGTGTGCTCTCCTCCTTTTCATCCTCCAGACCACCCCTTTTTCTTCAAATCCGATTTGCAGGTCTGATCAAAGAAAGAAAAAGAAGAACAGAGGATTGCCATCTTTTGTATGTGTATGTGTATATTTTGTAGCCAACACCCCTTAATCATCTGAACTTTTGCGCACTTTTCAGCTCCGCCTCTGCAATGAAGTCTCCTCTTTGATGAGGCAAAGGCAGAGGAAAAAATAAAGGAGAAAGAAAAGTAAGCGGGGATCGAGGAACGTCCCGAAGGTGGTGAGCGATGGCAGTTCTTGGCCAACGGGAGTTTGGATGGAATAAGGGGGCCGGTGAGGTATAGGCATGAGATGGTGTCAACGTGACTAAGGATGGAAAGAAAGGGGGTCTTGGGGTTTATTATTTTTTTTATATTTTTTAATTGCACTTAGTTAAAAAAATTACAAATTTATTTTATATGTTTTTTTTTTTAAACGGTAAATCTAACCTACTCCTAAACTACACCTTAAATCCACTTATGTCCGCGACGAGACTTGAACCTTCAACCTCAAGGAGATAAGGCAATACCGGATACCGCTGGACTAGAAGCCCTTTGAAAGAAATCACCCATATAAAAAAACTATAACCATCGAAACAATTGTCGTAAAAATAATAAAGAATAAAAGAAGTCACTCATGCAAGACGAGATTATAATCATCGTAACCACTGTCGTAAAAATAATAAAAGATTATAACCATCAAAACCATTATCGTAATTATAATAAAAACTGAAGTAGTGACTTTTTATAAACATTTGTATCATTTACATAATTTTGTCTTAATAATAATATAAAAGAAAATATTAAAATATTAAAACAAATTATAGGTGCAAAAGTCATCTTAGACCGGTTAGGAATGAATATTAAAATAAAAAATCAAAGATACGTACAACTTTGGATGTTTTTTATAAGTTTTACAAAATTTGCAAGTTTAGGTATAGATTCATCTTATGAAAAGAAGATATTACGATTCAAAAATAAATAAATAAATAAAATAAAATAACAAAAACTCATAACAAATCAAAACTTGAAGAATTAAATTTTAGAGATATAAATTTTTAAAACGATAAAACGAAAACTTGAAGAATGAAGTTTTAGTAATATAAATTTTTAAAATGATAAAACGAAAACGACAATTTAAAAAGCTCAACTAAAATATTTTTATTTGGATAAATATGTACAACATACTCACCACACCGCGGGTGTCATGTTGAGGTAGTTGCACATCACGACGTGCAAAAAGGTGATGATGTGGCGGTTTTTAGACGTGGAGATGTGTTGTTGAAGCCACGTGTTGTCACACGAGTTTTCTTTTGCATGACCAAGTGAATACCCTATCTTTTTTGGCATGGAGGGGTGAGTTGATGTTCCAATGGAGTGTGACATGCCCATACCGAACATCCTAACGTACAAATTATTTTTATAGGTTAAAATCTCAAACAAGTGAACCACACCACATTGACTCTAATTATTTTAAAATATGGGATTTTCTAATAGGAGATGATAATTCCACATTACTTTTTGATTCATCCACATATTTCTAAAGTCGATGGACAATTATGCCCCTCAGAGTAATCATTTGTAATAATTAAAAGAATAACCCCTTTATCTTCCCAGTTTCCTCGACATTTCTAAAGTCAATGGGAGACCTTTAACCCATACCGTCGTCGGAAACCGTTCCCTCTTTGGTCACTTGAAAAATAAAACCAGATGTAAAAGCATTTAACAAACCACCAGCAAAATCGACGATGTCGTCTTCAAGAAAACAACCTACAAGTACCAAAATCATAACCAACCTTCAAAATCAGATTTGTTGGTCGATGGAGTTTTAAGGTTTCAAGATTCGATCTAGAAGAGTTCAATATTTGATTAGTTCAGGAATTCTTTGACCTTAATTTCATCATCGGTGACAAGTAAGGCTTCTAATCTAGTGCTTTCTATCAACTGGTGTAGGAGGGATTATTGAAAACGATGGAGGGGCGGTGGTGGGAGGGCCTTTTAGAGCGAGCTTAGTCCCAGAGTGGAATTGATCGGAGATGGGTATTTTTCTGGAAGTTCTAATGATGCTTGTGGCTTTTATCGAGAGAAGATGGGAGGGTATCTTGAGGAGATGGAACTGTGTATACACACCACACCAATATTATAATGAAAGAGATAAAAAGGATATAACACCCTACACCAGTGTTGTTCATAATCTGTTCTTTGTGCTTGCAGATGCATCTCCTTGGCTCTATTTGACATCTTTTTTCCGAGTATTTAGGTTTTTAGTCCCTCATCTAATACTTTGTTAAATCCAATGTTCTTATCGATTCAACTAAGCTTACTGAGTACTCGTTTGAAACCATAAATTCCTAACAATAATTCATTCAGGTGACACGCTTAGAGGAACAAAAAGAAAGAAAAAAAAGGACTCTGTTGGAGATTGTGGTTGAATGGGACGACCAGAAACTTGAACAGACGAGGAAGGAAGAAGGAGTTGTAGGCTAAAGATTACCGGCAAAAAGAATTAAACATCACTTATCGTTTGTTGGCTAAGATTACAGGTTGGAGAAGAATTGCAGCCACGTGTGCATTGTTTTTGGTTTGGAAGAGTTTACTAAAAAACAATGTTGCCTTTAAATAATTTAATTACACTCTAAATATAAATGAATGAATGGCATAATTGTAAACTTGCTTTAAAAATAAGTGGATGCATCAAAAGGATCAGACATATTACTACCCTTTTCTAATATGTGCCCTAAAGACACATATAAGAAGTGTTAACTCTGAAAAATATTACCATAATTAAATACAAATACATTTATTAAGGAGATTATTAATGCATTTAAAATTTTATTATAGTAATATTTCTTTTAATTAATGCATTTCACATTTAATTAAGGTAATGTAACATCTATTTTTTAGGTATTCGTTTTAACCCTTGAGTTATGCTCTAATTGCAATTTTGTCCCCGGTGGAAATTTCGTAATTTCGGAGTTGTTGGAGTATGCGAGGGGTACACCCTCGTACGCTAAGCTTACTCCGGATCACCTTAGAATGTAGTGCGTACGCTGGTACGCAGGGCGTACGAAGCCAGGGTGCAAACCCTAAATTTTAGGGTTGTAACCCAATTTAAACGCATTTATGGCCTCATGCACCTTCTTATTTTTTAGCCTCCTTCCTCATTTTGAAACCCTAAAGAGTGTTTGTGCATTTTGAAGCGTGTTGAGCCATTTTTGGTGCCATTTGGAGCTTTTGTAGTAGAAGGAATAGGATTGAGGTGGTGGTGTTTCATTCAAGACTTTAGATCCAGCATCTTGTCCCCCTTGTGCACCTTGTGGAGGTAAATAGTTTCAACCTTGATGTAGAAATCCCATAGATCTAGCTTTTTGCTCAAGTTGTTTCCTTTTTGGTCATAAACTTGGTCTTCAGAGCAGTGCGTCCAGTCAGCTTTTTGCCTGTCTGTGAGATGAGTCTACTGACCACCTTAAGTGGGCCGAAGGCACCAAGGCCGACCCACTGTAATGTATGAGTAGAATTGTATGTTATCGTATGATTATGTTTGTTGTGCTTGTATGACTTATGCATTGAGATATATGGGCTCGGAGTCATTACGAACTCAAGGTTGATATGGACCCGGGGGTTGATTCGGACCCGACATAGCTATATGTTGTATTTTGGGTTCATACGGACCCGGGGGTTGATACGGACCTGACACAGCCACATGCTATTATATGATATGTGTGTTGTATATGTTAATTTGGGAAGCTCATTAAGCTTTATGCTTACAGTTTATGTTTATGGTTTTAGGTACTTCCAGTTCAAAAGGGAAGGGTCCGACGTGATGGCACAGCATCCTCCCCACATGATTTCCGCACTTAATGTATTTGTACTCTGATGTTTTGGAATATTGTAATGAGTGATGGCTTTTGATATAATCAATGAATGAAAATTTATGGTTTTTAAACGAAAAATTTTAGTATTATTTTTGGGTCATTACAAGTTGGTATCAGAGCCTTGGTTTGAGGGATTCGGACACACTTTCGGGTGTGTCAGAACTCAAACTGAGGAAATGATAGTTTTCTTAAATAAGAATGAATTTAAACTTTAAAAAAGACTTTATTTAAGAAAAATGGGGGTGCGATTCGTGCGATCGGCCGAGCGCAAGTAAGTGTTTCCTAAATTACCCAACTTATGTTTTATGAATAGTATGTTTGATACGAGAACTGTATACTAGAGTAGGGCTAAGGATACCTTCAAGAATCATATGATAGAATTGTCTGATTTGCGTGATGCCTTATAGCCTAGTGGAACTTGATGCTATGTATTATTTGGAATTGATATCAGCTCAGTTAATTGCTATGTGTATTCTTTCAAAGTTGTATATGATTAGGATTGTATAGCCACAGAATGATTGATTTGGCCTTATTTCCTATTCCTTGTTTGGTTGTGGACTTAGGATAGAATCATCATTTGGCAGACTATGCGATCTTATTTGTGTATAACTTGCATGCATAGGGCAACCAGCAATGTTGATTGAGGTTCTTGTTATTGCGATTAGTGAGAGTTGAGGATTCCTAAGGGAGTCTAGGATATGTTTGTCGTATGGCATGGGGTTAGTTTATGGTTTTAGTGTGGTGACTTAGAGGAATCAGGACTGACCTTGAGGAAGGTACAGGTAGGTGTGAAAGGTAGTATTGGGCCCGTACTACTAGAAGCACAAGAACTATACCTAAGACAGGTGTAGATCTGGAAACTCTAAGTGGGCCTATATGAAGGAGTCCCCTCGATT